ATGGGCTTGGCAATGTCCTGTAAAGGAGGCCAAAACGACAGACCCCAGGATCCTACTTGTCTTACCTGGGAGAATGACTAATAGAGGGGCAAGCTCTTGGGGTTCAGGACAAAGTGGGAAGGTGCTTATCTTCGGGAAGAAGAGAACCTGAGACTTTGGACAGCCTTATCTTCAGGGCTGTGCTCCTGGGCAGGTTGATCTTCTCCACTTGCAAGGGCCCCAAGATTCTGAACCTTGTGGTCCCTTGGGGCCTTGGAGGCCTGATTCCCACTGATGCTCCCCCCAGCGGATGACATTTCCTAATTCAAAGAAAGTTGCCTGAGGGCCCTTCCAAGCAGGAGACTCAGTGGAGTTTCTACAGCTCAGCCTGGAAAGCCAGACCCTGTAGGGGTTCACAAAGATTCACCCTGCATCTGAGGGGCTGGGAAATGATCGTGTGTTGGGGCATACTCACACACATAATTTAATAGTTTTTATTTTCTAATTAAGTACAAGGCTCATGAAAGCAGATATGAAATAAAGCAAAGGGAAGACACTGGCATAAATCCCTTAAATAAAGGAAGCAATCAAATGTGTGGTTAATGAAATATCACATCCAATACTGTCTCTCAACCTTTTTCTCTTTCAGCAGAGAACACTAGACTCTTACATCAATGCCCCAGAAGACCCTTACGTAAGTGCTGACTCCCGGCTTTCACCTGTACCAGCCCAGGCCTTTTCCTGGGCACATCACCTGTGTGACTATTGCTTTTCCCTGAAGCAGTCTCACTCTCAGGTGGGGCATGTTGCTGTGTGTGATGAGCAGGGAAAACCAGGTGTGCCCCAAGGCAGGTGCATTGGTCAGGGTTGGGCATCTCCACTGAAAACATCCTTCGCCTGTTTCGCTGGAAACAGTCCACGCTCTCGGTTCCCCTCAGAAGCGAGCATGGGAGGCAGCGCTCTATCCCACTGCAGTCTCTAGAGACAGAGCTTGCAGCAGGTGTGGGCAGATCTGCAGGTGTTGGGAAAGCAGCACATTTGAGAAGAAAACAGCACTTTAAAGAAGGCAGCGATGATGGAAAAGAAAAGTCCTCAACATTTGCTCCCTGGAGCAGGTAGGGCCCAAGGTGGTCTTAAGCATCAGCCAGAAGGAACAAGTCAGGCCCTGCTGGCAAGTTCAAGGTGGGCACTTCTTCCTAGTCGTGCAGAGAAAGTGGAGCCTTCGTGATGCCCCCAGGGCCAGTGTGAAGGGAGCCAAACCATCGCCCCTTAGCAAGCCACAGGACACTTTTCCTCGAGTTTGGCCAGGGCTGGATCATGCCCATCCTATTCTGATCCTACAGGCCCTGTGCATTCTCTGCCCTCAGCATGGCTGCCCACTTCGGGGTGTGCCAGCATCATGGATGATCCCCTCTCTCAGCAGCTAGATCGTGCCTCCATTCCTTTCCTGGTAACAAGGAGACATTTTAGTCAGGGCCACCTTCTGTACAACTGAAGGGGACACCTCTCACTCCAGATCACTGTGCAGCCAGTCACAGGACACCAGCAGAGACAGGGTCGAAGGGGGGCTGCCGCACAGATGCACTGCCCTTGCAAGATCTAGAAAAGTCCACATCGCTCTCGTTCTTCTGCTGGAACTGAAACCTTCAGTGGTGAAACAGTTTTTACCTCCAGGTCTGTGTAACTTGTTTGATCACAGGCAGGCCTGGATGGTTTTTCTCAAAGCTGACAGCCAAGTCTTCTATGAAAACAAAAAAAGCAACTGGATATCTGCACTCCTTTCCATGCCCTGACACCTGCCAGACTTGTAGGCCAATGATGACTTCCTTAGCACTCACCTGCCCTTACTCAGGAGAACATGGGCCCAGTCTGTGCCTGGCTGTGCCCTGCGGTCAATGGGTCAGACCGGCAACCTCTGATGTTATTGGTCTCAAGGGCTACTGAGAATCACAGTTTTCCCAGCCTCCCCCAGTGGCTTGTCAACACACCCCTAGTTGGGAGAGGCTATGGCCTGGTCCTGCTCCTTTGAGTGTCCATCCAATCTGTGCCAGCTGAGCCCCACCCTTTGCCCTTGCCTTCTCCTGAGAGGGCTGGAGCCCAAAACGTGCATTTCTATGGAATCCAGGTGACACTGCTGGTTCAGAGGCCACTGTGTGACTGTACATTAGAACAGTCCAGGGTCGTGTGAAACACTCCGGTGTCCCAGTCCCAACTTGGACTCAATTGGAATATGTGCTGTTAGAGACCTTGTTACCTGGATTGGGGAGGGGGCAGTGCTAAGGATTGAACCAAGACCCTAATGCACACTCGACATGTGTTCTACCACTCAGCTATATCCCCAGTTTTAAAAAAAAAAAGTTCCTTGGGTGATTCTGAAAGTCTAGAACAGGTTGAGAACTACTGCTAACCAAAAGAACAAACTTCTTGCCAAAATGACTGACGAGGGGGCTTGGGGAAATAGCAGAGTGGCATTGCTAGGCCCTGGATTCAATCCCCAGCACTACAGATTTAACAACAATAATAATAATGAGCCATAACTCCAATGTGCAGTCTTCTTAGACGATGGGGCTCCAAGTTCACCACTTGCCCACATCATTCTTTCTTTCTCAGGGCCCACTCAGTGTATTTTATAGGATGATGATCCAGAAACCTTAACTCGGCGGCCTACAAATACCTTCTGGTATCCTTAAGTCTCCCTGTTGAGATGTAAAGGAAAGATGGTTAGCAGGCCACACGCTCAGGCAACCCGAGGAGACCTGAGGGGATGAGCCAAGGACATCCCTGAGAGGCCGCCCGAGTGTTCCCACTGAAGGAACCAGATTCACTTGGCAGCCTAGAGTCAGTTCATATATGTGACTTTTCTTGTACTGAATTTATACATGAAGAGGAATGTCTAATTATAATCGAATTTACCTCAGCTCATTGGGCCGGGGAGTGATATCAGTAACTGTTACGATTTTTAACCCAAACAGCAGGGCACTTCACTCTGGCTGATGATGTTGTAAATGGGCTCTCTGTGTCCTTACAGCGGCAGACCTCACAGAAGCTCTGAGAGGTGAGGCAGGAGGAGCAGCAGGACTGCTGTAGGGCTGGATGCCTGAGATGGGGCTGGGGCAATCGGGGCTCACCTGCAGGCTTCAGGATGGATGGTGGTGGTTGTGGAGATGAGGAGCATTAAAGGAGATTCGACACAGGAAAGAGGAGGAGTGGGAATTGTGCCAGGAATGGGACAGTTCCCACTAGAGAGGACGGAAAGCGGGGTTGGCAGGCTCAGGGGCTCAAGATGGGGCCAGGAAATGGATGGAAAGGTCTGAGGATGTGCACTGAATGTGCTCACGGGAGAAGCTGTGGTCACCGAGACGAGTGAAATGAGCAGGATGTAGAAGGGAGCCCTGAGGAAGCCCCGAGTTCTAACCACAAAACTGGCAAAGAAAGAGTCCCAGTGTTAAGGAAAAAAACCCAAGAGAGTGGAGAGTCACAGAAGAAAGCAGTGTTTCTAGAAGGAAGAGGTGGAATGGTGCTGCCTGTCACCTTTCCAACCCCCCGCACTGGTGAGCCTATTGAGGGTACTTAGATTGTCACCGAAGATGTGAGAATCTCCTCGCAGGACGCAGTGCAGGGGGACATTTCACTGCCATGGAGGAGCTGTCTCCCCACCACATGGTGCCCCAAGCTGCTCTCTTTCTGCTTAGACGGCTCCAGGAGAGGAGCTAGGGGCCATCTCCAGCTGTTTCTCCCCAGACAACTCTCACTCGCGGGCTCTGTCATTGTGTAGGGGTCACCTGTCATTGCTACATGGTGTCACCTGAAAAGGGGGATGTTGTGACTTCCCCTGCCCACCCGTGGGCTTCTTCCTTAAATTATTTTTGTTGCCTACAAAATTCTATTGTGTGTAACATGCGAATCCCTCCACAATGCTTACATGCAAATATTGCCAAAGTTTGAACTTCACTAGATATAAATAAATCTGGCTAAAGGTCATCCTTATTTTGAGATTGGTCAGGAATCCAGGACTGGTCAATTCTCTGGAATTTTCCATTTTCCTTGTATAGAACAAAGTTCTAGCTCTTTCTTGAGCCCAGATAATGAAGATAGAAGCTCAGTCTTTAACTGGGTGGTTGCCCTGACAACAGCTCTTTGCCATTAGAGATGGCACCTCTCTACCAGCTTGGATCAGTCATGCAAGACCTTCCCCTAGACTCCAGACTCAAAGAGCTGTGTCCTCCCTGACACCCACCTGGACATCCATACACTGTCAGAGGAACAGAAGCCTCAGTCTAAGATCTGCTCCCCAGGTCCTTTCTTCAACTCGTGAGGAATTTGTGGCCAAGGATATAGGGTGGTGTGGTGTCTCAGTCTGTTCCATCATGTCCAGTTCTCATAGACCGCCCCTAGAGGAGTAAATTTAAATATGGATAACCAAGAGAGACGCAGTATTTGTGGGCCAGGTTCTCCAAGCCCAATAATTGTCTTTAACTCATCCTTTAGTTGTTGCTCCTGCTACCTCTTCTGTGTCAGAATCATTGTTTTCAAAATATTTTTTCTTTCTGTCCTGACACGTAGCAACTGTCTCCTGAACTTTGTGGCAGTCCAGATGCCTTCTTTTAAAGTAAATCTCTGCTCATATGATTCCTTAGCAGTTTCAGGACAGAGATTTACAAGTGTCATCTTGGCACGTGTCCTAGAATTCCATCACGGCAACCTTCTAAATGCTCGGTGATCCAAATGATAGCTACATCATTTTCCCTTCTAGCCACAAAACTCAAATGAATGTGAAGTGTGTGCCCAAGGGGGACAGATGTACTGCTGCGATACTTGTCCAAAATCCTATCATGAGAACTGCCACATCCCACCTGTGGAAACGGAGAGGTGAGTGAGACACAGACGTCCCCCACCTCGCCCTTCCTTCTGCCTCCTGCCATGCAAACGCATCCCGCAGAGTGTCTGCCTCCAGCTGGGGTTGTCTTGGTGCAGAGGGAGCAGAATCCTTAGCATCAAGATCCAAAAGTATCACCCAGAGCAGTGGTACTGGTACTGCTAGTAGCAGGTTAATGGAAAACAAAGATTCTCCAAGTAGTTATTAGGTGAGTTAGTAAGGGGTGTTATCCTACCTCCCCTTCCTGTGTACTCTGATGGAGTGATAATGTCAAACATTTGTGGTTGAGTTCTTCGTATCCCACTTGCTGTGAGAACATCACAATGTTGCTAAAACTGGCATTCTAATGAGCCTTCTGAAGTCCATCCCACTGTCTGTTGAGTCATTTGACTCCTGGTGGCTGGGTACATCAGAAGACCTCTGAATTCTGTAGGTGGGAGCCTCCTGCTGCACTTTTTCGGGCTGAAAGTGTGTCTTTGGACAGAGGTGATGGGTTGTGTGAGACTGATGAAAGATGACAGTGGTGCTGTACACAGAATTGCTGTGGCCAGGAGAATGCCCTACCAGGAATGCGTCCTGTGAGGACAGAGCATTGCCCTCCCATGAGGGGAAGAGTCCAAGAGGATCCACCTGTTTCCAGGGCACTGTCTCAGAGGAGCAATGTCAATCTCTGCTTTCGACCAGCTGGGCAATCTGCAGAGGCAGAAAACATATCACCTCTTTTTTCTACCTCCTGTGTAGCTCCTATCTCTGTATGGTGGGTACTCTGTAGTGGACCCCTGAGCAAGTGGTGGGTGGCCAAAGAGGCTGACAAGGCAAGGACAGGTCGTTGTGCCACCCTGATTACTGCAAGTCTCCCAGCACAGAGAACCTGGTAGAGAAGGAGAGTGGATCTGACCCCCTGGCAATAGACTTCCTTTCCAAGATGTTTCTGAAGCAGTGAGTCCAGATACAGATTTGGCAAGGCCAGAGGAGAGAAATTCTCCATGCTTACTCAGCCAAGCTGACAAACAAAGGCTGGTTTCCTGATTTTACTGTGGGTCCTGATTACTGCAGCTTACCAAGGTCCCGTTCTTGAGGTAATAAATTCCAGTACTTGACCGGGATGACAGGGGTCATTATCAAGCTCAGTAAATCAGATGGGAACCCCAAGTTCTGAGCCCAATAAGAGTCCATCCACTGCTGGGACATCTCAGTCGACACATTATCACCCTGTCGCCACTACTGATGGGAGGGGATGTCTTTGGCTATTGAGCCCAAATGGAGTTTCAGGGCAGAGGCCTCTGAGAAAGGAATTGGATACAAGATGGTAACCATCTCATTCTTGAGCAGAGGACCTTAGCAGCTGTAGGAAGGGTGGCTGCTTTGCAGACCCTGCCCTTGCTCACTGTACACCCAACCTCTCAGCAACCCGTGGAGTTGCATCTTCTGCAAGACAAAGGCTATTCGGAAAAGGTGCCGAGAAAGCCAACCATGTCATCAGGAATCTGAGGTTCTGATGAAGGAGCTGTGTGGTGAGGAACAGCTGGTGAGTTGATGTGACCCTGAAGTCCCTCTTGCCGTTCACAAAGAGGAGCACAGTCTCGTCTCGCAGAGGCAGAGGAATGTTGCCCAGAGACAAATTGCTTTGTCCTGCTGTGCTTCCGTCACATGACCCAGCACTAAAATCCATATTCTAGAGAAGCTCCAATCCAGGGAAATTTCCACTCACGAAGAGTCCACAGTTCTGGGAGTCACATGTTCGGTCTAGACTGGGCACTGGCTCTTTCCCTCTATACTGCTTTGCGCTTAAAATCTCCTCCTTCTTTTTCAGAAATGTGAGCTGCTCCTCTTGAAGGTCTACTGCTGTGTAGACAGTGCCTTCTTTGTCACAGAACCGAATTATGTAAGTTACAGCAACAAAGCTACAGACGTGCATTTCTCAAAATCGTGGTCTGAATTCCAGGGGCACAGGTTGTGCTTACCTTTGCCTGTTGGTGGCTGTCTTTGCTAAGGTTGCTGCAACAAATTACCATAGATTGTCTGTGTCCGACAGAAATGTATTTCTCACAGCTGTGGAGGCTGGAAATTGGAGGTCAGGGAGGCAGCATGATGGGACTGTGATGAAAACCTTCTTCTGGGTTGCAGATTGGTGGACAGAGAGAGAGAGCCCTAGAGTTTCAATAAGGGTACTAATCCCACCAAGCAGGGGTCCACCTTCATGAACTAATGATTTCTCAACTGTCTCCCTAACACTGTCACCTTGGGGTGGGGGTTTCAGAATATGAGTTGGAAGGAGTGGGGACACAAATGTTCAGACAACAGTAGGAGTCCGGGGAGGGCAGACTGGGGAACATGCAGACAGCCCCCGCTTTGCTGTTCTCAACAGACCAAAGGGACATTTGTGGGCCAACAGGGCTGCACGTGTTTAGACCAAATCAAGACCAGGCTGAACGAGAAGAAGTACTCCCGAGTGAAGGAGTTTGTGCAGGACATCCGCTTCATCTTTCAGAACTATAAGGCATTTTACGGAGTGAGTGGCTCTCCCCACTTCCCTTTTGCTTTCAATCACTCTCCCTTGCACCTTCTTCCACTGGGAAATGTTTCAACTGCCCTCGTCCTGTGACAACCCCGGACAAGTAAAACTTCACAGCAATATCTTGAGAGCTCTGTGGTGCAGGTAGGGAAAGTAACAATACACCAGAAGGTGTCCTTGGAGAGGTCGTCTGGGTCTACTCACTTCTGGATAGTCTACACTCAATCGTGGAGAATAGCCCGGGGCCCATCCATTCACTGCCACTGGTAGTGGACGTGAACTTTACAGGAATCCAGTGTTTCTCCTCTTCAAAGGAAGATACCAAAGCAAGTTTCTCAAATTTCAAAATCTTAGATTTCTTTACATCCTAATTTCCAGGTGATCCACCAAAAAGCCAATAAGATTTCTCAAAGGGTGAATCTGTACTGTCCTGTGGTTACAAATCATCAATGTGGTGTTTAGAAATCAAAACACAAGAACCTTTTAAAAATTAAATTGGCATCTTTTCGATCAGGAGTTAGACCGCAACATGCAGGTTGATCATCCCAAATATGAAAGTTCAAAACCTGAAATACGCCAAAATTTGAAACTTTTTGAGCACCCATGGGCCCACAAGTAGAAAATTCCATACCATAAAACTTTGCATGGAATTACTGATTATGTTGTATAAAATTACCTTCAGGCTATCTGTATAAGGTTTATATGAAACATAAATGAAGTCTGTGTTTAGGTTTAGGTCCTAGGCCCAAAATAATCTCATTATGGATATCCAAAATCTAAAAACCTCTGAAATTCAGAGCACTTCTAATCCAAACTGTTGTGAATACGGGACATTCAACCTGTAGTACTATTTTAGCTTCTCTGTCTTCTGATAAAGAGAAATGAACTATGGGGGAACATAAATTCCTCTGAAGTGGATTAATTCTCATTTAAAGTATAGAGTGGTGCAAATGAGGCTCCCAATTTTCTGATGCATGGGGAGTCTGGGCTTATTGAATAACAGCTGTAATTACTTTTGTCTTTGTTTTCTCAGGACAAACAGTTCATCGATGTGGGAACACTAGAAGGCAGATTTGAGAAGAATTTCAAAAACATTTTTGGAGTCCAGAAAACGACTCCAATTATCTGTTTCCCTCCCACTCAGGATCCTTCAGCAGCTAGCGATACAGTATTCTGATGATCCACCAGGACGCCTCCCTGTCTCTGGTCAAACAAGATCATGTTGCATTTCTTTTTCAAACGTTTTTCATGGCCCTTCCCATTCATCTGTTTAAATAATACTTAAGGCAGGGACTTAGCTCAGTGATTCCACTGCCTGCCTCACAAGCACAAGGTCCTCAGTTCAATCCCTGGTACCAAAAAAATAAATAAATAAAATAATACTTATCAAGTTCTCATATCAATTTGCAGTAAAAGCTGCAATTGAAACTATGAAGTGTTTCCAAAAAGGATCGTATTGTGTTCTTTCATTGATTCACACCCTGTATTAGATTCTTCGATGCTTCCTGTTCCCTCCCCACATGAGGCTTTATATCTTTTTTTATTTTTTTATTCTCACTCACAGAGTTTAACATTTTGGTGTTACTGTGAAAGTAATCTGCACAGTGCAGCCCTTCTGTGACAGACTCCACACTGTATAGAATGGTAGCTTGCATGCTGTGCTTTACCTGGAGCAACTCCATTTTGTACAGAGCAGTTGACTCCATTTTGAGTGTAAATGATAAGGCAGAATGACTCGGTCGCTTGTTGGTACAAACACAGAACTATCAGAGGCTGGACACACACACACACACACACACACACACACACACGAAACCAAAATACTCCCAGCGGCACAGAACAATCACAGATGTAAACAAATGAATAAATTAAGCTTGGTAATAAAAAATTGCCACCTATAAACAATCATGTTAAATCAGTGGCACACGGGCACAGGTAGCATCTCAGTTACAGCAGAGAAAACCAGGCCCCTGAGGTTATCAGACACAAGACCAGCAAATAATACAACCCTGTCATCTTGACCCCATACGTGGAAGGACTCCTAGCACTGGAGCAAAGTGTTGCCGCATTGGTGTCTGTTGACAGGCCACTACCTTTGGCTCTCTGTCGTCGGCTCAATCCCCCTACGACGTGGTCCACCTAAGCCATGTGCTGGGTGGACTCAGGCCTTGAACCGGCTCTGTGCTCCCAGCAAGCTCTGCGCCTCCTAGGGACGCAGCCCGGCCTGTGATCTTACCTCTGTGCACTCTCTGCCTCGGCTTTCAGTTCTCCCTCTTTGAATCTTAACCACCGTCGACCCTTTTTAGCCTTTCTGAAACCTATGTATTTCTGTATGAAATGTGATGTGTGACTTGAGCATTATACATGTTAGTAATAAGACTGAAAGAAAAGAGCCTGTGATTGTCCGACTCCTTGGCTACCCAGTCACCCTTGAGAACCCCCCCAGATAAGGCTGACAAAACTGATGTCGGTCATGAATTTATTGTCATTCAGTAAATTCTGATTGGAAAAACACCAATGTGTCTGGTATATGTTTCAGACATAACTCACTCGTGACGTGATCTCTTTCCTGTTATATTTTGTTACGGATTATTGCCTGTTATTAAAAAAAAAATTGTTGAGGCTGGGGATGTAGCTCAGTGTCACAGCACCTGCCTGGCGAGCATGAGGTCCTGAGTTCAATCCCAGTACCAAAAAAAAAAAGTTAAAAATAACCGTTGCCATTTATACCTACATTTGTCGATTATCTTGGACCTGGCACCTTTGTTCTCCCCTTTGCCGTCTACGTATGTAAAATGCTGTCTGAATCTTAAGCGGCGACATTGTTTTTTGTTTTGTTTTGTTTAATCAGAGAAATCTGACAGCCTTGCTGAACAGCTTCCCAGACCTGAGGTACTCTGGTTAGGGGAGGAAGCGGCCACATGTTAGTAGCTGATTGAGAGCATACAGGACAGCCTGCAGGGAAATACGCATGCCTCAGAAATCACTGTGTCCCCTTGGCACCAAAAGCAAGTCTCCATCACACCAGCTCACCACTCAAATAATGAAATTTCATCATCACACAGCACAATTTTGAAGATTGAGTGAGTTTTTATGCATAATAAAATCAATTTTGAAACACATGAATATATCATGGCTATACAAAGCAGGGATTTTATACTTAAGATATCAATTCAAGCAGGAGGTAGCAATCCTAGCCCGGCAGTATGGAAAGTGGCCTTTTGTTCCTCTGGAAGAAGAACTCATTCTGGAAACACGAAAGGGGCAAAAGTGCCATTGTCAGATCATTTTGTATAGGTGACCTCTGTGTTTAATCACTTCACAGCATGCTGTGCTGGTGATCTGGGGGCAGAAAAAGAAGTTTATTGGCTCTGAAAACCATAGGTAGAAGAAATGAAAAGTACACTTTGTGAGTTGATCGGTACAAGAGTGTGGGACACGATTTGTATCCAGCTTTCTCATTAATCTCTGAGAAGTCTAGAATTCTGCAATCAAGCAGAAGGCACGTTCATCTAAACTCAGCGGCTTTCTAAATAGTTCTGTTTTTAATCTGCAATATTGAACTCCTGTAGGAATATGAAGTCAACCGCTGCTCTAGAGTTTCTGAAGAAATTGTAGTGTATAAAATATTAATAGTTTATTTTTACACTAAAATGTGTCGTATTCAACAGGGGAGAAAAAATTAAAAAAAAAAACATAAATTGAATCTTCAAAAGGCTGTAGCAAATACTCTAAATTCCCAAACCCGTGTTCTTCCTTTCTTCCTGAGCACACACAACTACGCCACACATCTCAAAGACCATCCCCACACTCCTCATTAGCTAGGGCCACGAGAACACCACCCAAGGGGTGTGTACCAAAGTGAGATAGGTTGTCCTGAACCCTAGTCCTTGAAGCCTACCATGCAGGGTACATCCAGACCCAGGCTGCTTCCGAAGTTATGAACTGAGAGCAGCAGCATCTCCCTTTATCCAACTTGACACCCCAGGATCTACAAGGAGATTTGTTCTGCCACACTGAAAATTTCTTGGGTGCAAAATATCAACTTCCGCCATACCTGAGTCATTGCACAATGCATATTTATTTATTACAGTGGATATCCTACCCTAGCAGTTACATAGTACACAATATGAATTACCTGAAGTCAAACAGAAGTGTTTTTAATGGAGAAACATATAAGAAATTGAATCAATCATCTATAGAAAAACGATTCATGGTAAAACAATTTTTCCTTGCTGCTAGGTGTTTTCCAAGTGGTTTGTTTCTAAAGAAGTTTTGTTTTCTGTTTTTTTTTAAAGAAGGTTTTTCTAAAGAAGGTTTGTTTCCTCCTTTGTTACCTGCTTCATGGGATCTAGAAAATAAAGGGGAAGGCTTAAAAAGAAGAACTTGTAAAGAAAAGGGTGGTGAAATCATAGGATAACTCACCTGGCATAAGATTAGAGATCATAATGATATTTGGATAATAAATTCTGTCTCTGCCTTTCTTATTTAAAAAAAAGTCCAAAACAGACAACCATGAAATTGAATTCTGCCGTGACTATGAATATGAGTCCCGGATCTACTTTGAATTTTCCATGTTGTTTGTCAAAGATCCTTAAATAGATACACAACCTTTAGCTTTCACATCTGAAACACCAGTTCCTCTGGATTAAGTGTGAAATTATAACTTCTTACCTCCCTGTGTTTTAAAAGTGAAAATATAGAACATAGAATCCCCCACTAAAATGAATCTATTGCAAGAACGCTTCCTCTGAATTCAAATGGTAATCTCTGGCCAATGGCTTTCAATCCTAACTTACTTCCCTTGTCTAATTATGGACTCTGGCTTGAGCTAGTCATGTCTCCTGACCACTGCCCAAAGAATGAAAGCCCTTTCAGTCTCGGTGTGTAATAACAGAGCAAGCAAGGAGGAAATCTCAGGCAAAGTTAAAAATGCCTGGGAGCTCACAAGGTCATCTTGGTCTGCCCTTTTCATCAGACCTCAGCATTTCTGGCACTAGGAGAAGAAATAGAACTTCTCACCCACATAGAGTCTCTGTGCTTATCTTTGCTCCCTCTTGCTCTTTGCTCTTCCTGTTTCCCCCTCCCACTTGCCCCTACATGTTTACTGTATTTCTTCCTGTGTTTCATCCAAGAAGACCTTGCAATCCTTGTGTTAAATACAGTAGAGTCACGAGCAACCACAGTTAGCCTAATGGCTGTGTGGAGCAAAAACCTCCAACAACCAGACCCACCCTCTACTGATTGTGAGTCACACATATGCCTCTGGATGTGTTTGAGCCACATGAACACTTGGAGACCTATTTCTCAAGGCAGTTATTGTAGCTGATATACTAAAAAAAAAGTTGTATTGGAAGAGGAAGTCACACAAAAGTCCTAGATGTGGCCACCGGTTTCACAGTTAGGTAACAGCCAGTGAGAAAAAAGATCGAGAGGCTGGAAAGACAGAACCCAGTACATGCAAAGACAAATCATTTGGCAGGACTCTTGACTTTCATATTTTGAAAGCAAATCAAGGCTCTTTCAAACCAAGGACTTCAGAGAAAAAGGTTAAATGACAGGGTGTTAGCTGTGTATACTGACTGATGTTTGTGGTATTTTAAAAATTTGCAAGAGAGAGTATTTCAGGCAAGAATTAGCTAATTAAAGGAAATTAAGAGAGTCCTGGACTCTGGATGTTTCTGGGTTAGAAGAACTCCTAGAAGTCAGAGGAATGACATCAGGGTGGGATGTGGGAGTCTTGGCTTCACAAGGAGCAGGTGCATTTCGGTTAAGGCAGAAACAGCACATGGCCTCAGTAGAGGAAGGTGACAGAGAAGTGTTATACAATAAGACAGGCCCTTGCCTTGCCTCCATTTTTTTCCCCCACAGAATGTCTTGTTTTGGAAATGTAAGTGTGTGCTACTGGGCTCCTGCCCAATGTATCAAAATGGTTTGAACTACACCATTGAACAAAAAGACTTAATAGATAACCAGAGTGTTTCATGCAACAACAGAATAAATATTGTTTTCAGCAGCACATGGAACTTTTTCCAAAATGGACCATCTCTTAGGCCATACAGTATGCTTAAATAAACTAAAAAAGATTTGAAATAATTCTTGCATGCTTTCAGATCATAGAAGGATGAAGCTAAAAATCAATAGCAATAGAAGCTACTCAAGCAGAGTAGTTTAAGCAATACATTATTGAACAAGCAAGGGATCACAAAACAAACCAGAAAAAACTTTGTTTCTAGAGTCCAATGACAACAGAAACACGATACATCTAAACACAATGAAGCAGTTCTAAGAAGGAAGTTTATAGTTGTGAATGTATACATGAGAATAGAGCAATCCTAAATAAATAACCTAAGATTCAAGGTACCAGCCCTCAAGGAGCCAACAAGGAGAACAATTGAGTCACATTCACTGGTTAGCATTATAAGAAGAAAAGAGACACTACCTTCCCTAGAGACCGCAGTAATTGATATCCTAAATGGTAAATTCCTTGTATGTGACTTGTTTTCCCATTTGATACCCATTTAATTAATATTACTTGGGTGACTGTACTTGTAATCTTACTGGTTGGTCATGGTTTTGCCCTGCCTCTTGCCCATCTTGTGATTTTCCATTGGGTCATATAGGTTTTTCCCACTTTGTACCCTCACATCATGGCTCTGTCCTATAAAATACCTTTGAGAAATGATGTGACAGGTGGCAGGATTAGGAGTGACCAATGGTGGCTCAGAAAAACATCCCTTCCATACCAGACCACCTGGTCCCATGTGCTGCTGAAAAGCCTTGTGTCACAGTATTACACACTGGCTGCTGCTGACACATGCCCACTAAGGTCTCATCTCCCAGTCTTTAGTCTATTTTTATCATTACAATTGATACAAAAACTTTAAGAGAAAAGAGTTGTCTGTGAGCAGATTAGAGTTGGGCCTTCCTGGGCCCTCCTTCCTACCATCACCCATGATGTTATGAACCCCTCTGTGGTTCCTGTCTCACAAGAGCCACTTCCAGTCCCTCCCAGGCCACTGGGGCAGTGAGAATACTCAGGCTTCTTGTCTGCTCTGTCTTCTCCCTCAGACCAGCCAGTCTGAGGCCAATGTGAACAAAAGCTTCGGACCACAGACCTTGCTTCCTCACAGAGGGGAGATCCCACCTCCAGCCCTGGCCAGGGCACTGGGACCTGTCACTTCAGGTTAGGGGATGGTCTAGACAGTTCTAGTCAGATCCTGTGTGGAAGGGCCTAGTCCACTAGATGAGAGAGCAGAGACACAATGGATGGTCCTTCATGGGCAAGGCCTCCGCAGGTGTGACGGCCCCGTGATGAGGGCCACTCGTGGCCCCAGGGAAAAGAGGTTGACTTAGGCCTAGATCCAGGTCACTAGCAACATCAAGAGTCCTCTGTGAAGGAAGCCAGGCTCCTTCTGCAGGAGGACCATCTTTCCACAGCTGGGCAGAGTCCATTACACAGGTTTCC